TTCACAGCTTCAACTTGCTCTTCAGCCTCTTGAAGTCGCTGAGCAAGTTTTTTCCTTAAAGAAGTCAGATTGAAATAATGATGTTCCATCCGGTATTTAGGTTCTCTATGAAATCAGCTTTGTCCAGTAGAGTTTTGCTTAACGCATAACTGTATGCTTGGAGAATTTTGTTTAGTAAACCTCTCTAATAGCAAAGTTAAATACAGAGGCTGGAGTCACATATTACACTAAGCTAACTGTTTGTATAGTATCATTTGTATTGTATCATTTGTATCGTATTTTAGTTGGAAATAAGCTACAGTTTGTAAACTATCTTTATAGTTCAATATAAGTCTGGTGTCAACCAGGCATTGCAGCTTATTTATTTTTTTAATGAGCAAAAGAAACCCTAGCCTAACATAAAACTGACTATAATCCAATGCATTCATTTTAGTATAATCTGTTTCTAAGACATTCATATAGTTCTCAGAAAAAAATCACTCTTTCAAATACTGTATATTAAGAAACAACAACAACAAAAATACAGACTGTGGACCACACACCAGCAGCATTTTCTTTTCTTTTTTAGAGTTGCTGAAAGGTTCTCTTACACTGGCATTTATATGGAAGATTATAAATGTCCTTGAATATAATAAGAACTACCCATTTTTGTTGGAATGTTGACACAAATGGATAATTTGAGTGCATAAACGTTGGAAAGCTAGTATGTAAAGATTATACTAGTTTGTCATTTTTTCTCACTCCTCACTTACTTCGCCTCTTCTAGCTCTTCTGTGCGTTGAATAGCATCTGTTTCATACTTGGTTCTCCACTGAGCAACTTCTCCGTTGGCTTTGGACAGGGCACGCTGGAGCTCACTCTTGGCTTCCTGTTCTTCTTCATATTGTTCTCGGAGCAAGTCACAGTCATGCCGAGAAGATTGTAAAGCATGTGCCAATGCATTCTTTGCCTAAGAATTATCAGTACACCATGAAATTTTTGAACTCAGATTATAACATGTACAGTATTCACTGTAGGCATGCCACAAACTTCATACACAAACATTAATGCTTATATTTTATATACTTTGTGCAAAGAACCTAGTTTCAAATTGTCATGAGAATGAAGAGAATATCCACACTACTCAAGGTTTCTCCATGAATGTCCAAAAATGTATTTTAAGACTTTGGAATTTCTTGCAATCATGTAGTTTACAAGAAACTTAGCTTCCTTTCTTGAAAATGTGGGTTCCCTGTTGTGGAAGATCTCTATAAGCAATGCAAAGTATTATCATGATGAGCTTGAGTTAATATTTTAATTCAGCAATTTATGTATAATTGGGCAGATTAAATCAAAAAGGTTCTTGGTATTCTCAAGTACTGAATTCATAGTTGACAGGTTAACAGTGAGTTCAGAATGCATGGCCAGTAAATCCTATGCATGCCTAATAAAAAATAATATCCTCTGATTTCTATGAGACTTTAGGAAGATGAGCATGTGAGGAGCTGAGTCTCAGAACTATAAACATTTCAAGTGTTTGATTCAATTATGATACATGACAAGATTTCTGCTCACTAAGGGGTCACATCAATTCAGTTAAATAATCTCTTATCAATAACTCATCATGACAAAATTGAACATTGAAAGATAGAGTGCTTGTTGCCAAACATGACTCAAGTGTTGAAAATGACGGTGCCATTATGTTTAATAACCTATTAAAAATATTGCCCAGCATTTTCTACTTATGAATGAATACCTTGGTCTCTTCCTCTAGCTGCCTCTTCAGCTCTTCTATTTGCTGAGTAAATGCTTGCTTGCTTCTGGAAAGCTGTGATATTATGCTCTCCTTCTCCTCAAGTTGACGTGACAATTCGCCTTTGAACCAAGATTTTAAAATAATTTTATTCTTTAAGCAAGAACAATACGTATTTAATATAACTATTGATCCTGGAAGCAATACCAATTAAAATCTCCTTTGTGTCAAGTCCAACTTCTTTTCTTTATGGAGACATCAATGAGTCTCCATGAAGAGTTTGTAAAAAATTGTTTGCCACTGGCTTCTTCCAGGACATTGAAAAGCCTACAGCCCCAGATTTTCCTAGTGCTTCATTTCACTTAGGACAAAAACATATTTTTGATGCACCTGGTGCAGCTGCATGGATTAGTGTCTCTACAGTTTCAGACCTTGGGGTAAAAATAAACTGTAGATAAACTGAGGTTGAGGTCTGTCACTGAATATGTAGATTTAATGCCCACCACTTACTATCAATTGATGAGGGGAAAATGGTTTGGAATAGCCTTTATTTGCATTTTGGCCCATTTTCAATGTTCTCCTTACCTGATTCAGCCTGTAGACGAGCTTTTTGTGTGGTTAGATCATTGACTAATCTCTGGTTTTCCTCAGATTTGGCCTTTAATTCACTAAGTTGGTCCTCTAATGTGCGGCACATTTTCTCTAGATTTGCCTGTAATACACAGAATTAAGAAGATTTCTTATACATATATGTCTTTATGTTTACATAGCTGTGTATAACCAAGAATCTACATTCTGGGATTACTCATTGATTTTATTTTCAAATACCTTAGACTTGGAAACAGACTCTAGATTACTGGCCAGGTCATCAATTTCCATTTTAAACTCACTCTTCTCCTTCTCCAACTTTTGCTTGACGCGTTGAAGATTATCAATTTGTTCCCCAAGCTCAGCTGTGCTATCCGCATGCTTTTTGCGAAGAGCTGCAACAGTGGCTTCATGCTGCAAGGCAGATTCCTCCAGATCCCGCCTCATTTTCTGGAATTCCGCTTCCCGTTTTTTATTGAGTTCAATCTGGACAGAGGTGGCCCCTCCGGCTTCTTCAAGCCTCTCACTGATTTCCTCCAGTTCACGTGACAGATCAGCCCTCTGCTTCTCTGCCTTTGCTCGGGTTGCTCTTTCAGATTCAATCTCTTCTTCCAGCTCTTCAATACGAGCCTGTAGAGAAGAAGGATCTGCTAGTTAAGAGTAGCAACGGTGGAGGTAATTCAGTGCAGAATCATCAATGAAGAAAACTACCGTATTTAAAGTAGTTGCCTCTGAAACAAACAAATCTCATTAACTTCAGTGTTAAGGTGTTCACTCGGTAAAATTTCAATTTTAAAATAAGGAGGACAATTACTATTACAGGATGTCACCCAGTCAGTCAGATGTATAGACTAGATTTGGCATTTTTATCACCTACTGAATCCTTCCGAAGGACTGGGATAGATAGATGTGGTTTGGTAATATGAAACGTATCGTCTGAGGATGTTTAAAATATTCCAAGTAAAATTGTCTTTTGCAGTTGACTGGTGATGATTCTTATTATTATTATGGTTTCACAGTCATCCAGATATTTAGACTTGATTTGGCACTTTTATCCATGTAGCAATTCCTCCCCAAGGACATTATATCATATCATTATCATATCATAAGTTTATTTGTCAAGCATATATAAGATAACAGGTAAAAGTATAAACATAATTTGAATACATGAAAAGAGTAAGTAAAAAGGAATATTAGGACAGGGACGGTAGGCACATTGGTGCACTTATGCACGCCCCTTACAGACCTCTTAGGAATGGGGTGAGGTCCCTATTATCATAATTATCATTATTATTATCCCCACCTATAAAGAAAGATTAAACAGACTAAACCAAATAGTCTATGTATTGTGGTTACTAAATCACAATAACCTGGAACAAAAATTTAAATATGATGGAAACAATTCATGCCTGTAGTTCCTTGATTTTCTTTTGCAGCTGAATACTCATAGTTTGCTCATCCTCAGTTTTGCTTTGTAGTTGACTGTATTCAAAATCTTTTCTGTAAACATACCAAAGAAAGAAGTTAATTAAAATAATCTTATAATCATAGTTTAATGTTTAGCTATAGTATATACATGACATACTTTTTCAGTTTTTCTTCTAATTGCAGTTTATCATTTTCTAGATCCATAATAGATTCTTGAGATAGTTTCAAGTCCCCTTCTAATTTTCTCTTGGCTCTTTCAAGATCCATGCGGATTTTCTTTTCTTGTTCCAGAGAGCCTTCCAGCTGCAACAGAAGTTTAATATTAGTCTTGGACTCATATATGGGCAATTTATATGTTTTCCTTGTGATATGTTCTCCGATATGTACTCCAGTGGTGGGTTGCCCCTGGTTCACACCAGTTCTATAGAACTGGTAGTAAAACCAGTGGAGGCTCCGCCCACCAACCCTGACATCATCAAAATGCTTCTGCGCATGCGCAGAAGAGAGCATGAGCGGCCCCGCTGCGAACCGGTAGTAAAGGTAAGTAGAACCCACCCCTGATGTACTGCCCTAAAAGGAATGGACATTTTCAGCAGACATATGGATGTTTTCATTATTGTATTCTCTCACCTAATCTCACCCCAATGTATATTCACTGTATAGTAGGTTGTAAATAAAAAGCACTCTTCTCTGTTCTCAGCTAGTTAATGGAAATATGAGGGAGTTTCCTTATTGTTGTGCAGATGACTAGATTTCATAGTAATTCAGAGCTTTTAAGGTTTTAATATTCTATTCCATTCTGAACATGAGTTTATTCCCCCAATTAAAATAAGAATGCATGACACCACAAGCTCAATGTTTGATTACAATGACTCCATGTTCGATTATATTGGGATAGCCCACAGTGAAAAATCAAGAGCCATTTCTCACATCATCAACTTGTTGTTCCAGTTTTGCTTTGGCTTTCGTGAGGGTGTTGACTTTGTCTTCCTCAGCCTGTAGATCATCAAGAGCTTGCTGATGAGCTTCTTGGAGGGCTTTCTTCTCTTTGGTTAATTTCACAATGGTTTCATCCAAAACTGCCATTTCTTCTGTTAGATTCTTCACCTATAGAAAACAACAAAGCCTAGCTGATGACTTGAAAACCTGGTAATGATCTCATATGCAATAAATAATTAATTTAGAATCATGAGTTTTTCAATGAATTGAATTCCTTACATTCATCAACAATATACAGACATTAACTACCTTTTCAAGCAATGTCTATTTATTTACTGGCATCATATACTGCTTCCATCAGTGTTAGCTCTGTTGATTTACATTTTTATAAATAAGGTTAAAATGCAGTATTAATAACAGCACAATATAATACAAAACACGGGGGAGCCGAGGAATATAAAAATAATAATCCCATTTCATAAACTCCAAAATTACAAGAAGGAACAATTCACCAAAATTCTGGAACTAAGATTCGCTGAATTCTGGAACTAAGATTTGCTTTTGATGATCATTCTAAAGCAGTGTAAGAGCTATCTGAATCTCATGAATCTCTCATTGTTTCAAAGCAGTTGAAAAGATCTACCTCTGAAGGTGGAAATTGGTAAGGAAATGAGATGAGTTCCTTCTACATAATCTTATTGGACAGGCAAAAAAAAAAAAATTGGGAGAGGAGGAAGCCTGGGATATCCAGGTCTTGAATCACATAGGGCCTTAACTTGACAATGGTATTTTGAATTGCATCTAGAAGCGAATTGGTAGGCACTGCATCTTTCCAAGCATTTATGTCACATTGGCAAATTATAAAATGCTTATTAGTACTCAAACTGCTGGGTTTTTTTGGACTGGTTTGAGCTTCTGAATGGTCTTCAATGGCAGCCCCATGTAGAGGTGATTAAGGCATGAAGGATGGAAAGAAGACCCTTCTATATAGATATCACCAGCATACTTTTTAACATATATCCCTGTGTCATCTTATGAACTCTTCAAAAGGTTTCATGTAAATGAAGATAATCTTATGGTGCTCCATTCTTGAGGAGTCTTGGGCTCTATCTCTGTCAATGCTATATGGTGCTTCCCTCTCCCAATGCTCAGAGTTAATGCTGAGGCACTGAACATCACAAAGATCACACTCCTTACTCCAGTTTAACTTAATGCCATTCATAAGCATTGCAGTCTCAATACTATAGCTAAAATCTGTTTCAAAAAGGTCAAATTCTTCCAAATTTCTATGCACTTTCAACCCATCTTTTTCTCTACAATATTCCCCCAAACAAGAGATTGGAGATTGTTGGTAATTGCTCAATATTGTTAGGTGGATTGATGCAGGAATTTTATCTTTGTCTCCTTCAAGGAAGATCATACCCTGTCTTGACACCAGGAAGTATTTGCCACTACACTGACCCAATCGCCTGGAGGTTTTCACCAACAACTATGAAATTCATATTAAATTATATTACCTTGTTTTCAGTGGCATGCTTTTCTTTTTCAACCTTGGCCAATGTTAGCTCAAGATCATCAATATCCTTCTTCAATTCAGAGCATTCATCTTCTAGTTTCCTTTTCTTGGCAGTCAGTTCTGCATTCAGCTCCTCTTCATCTTCCGCTCTTTCAGTCAGTTCTTTGATCTTAGCCTCCAACTGGATTTTAGTCTTGATCAATTGGTCACACCTTTCTTCAGCATCTGCCAAACTTTCACTTTCCTTATTAAAGAAAAGATAACATTATTAATTATTGCTCAGAATGTTTTCACTTTCTTAAATAGCCCTTCCTTTAATCAATAATTATCAACTTTAACTTACTCAGATTTAATGTATGGCTCAGCTTAAGTAATATTAATTAAAATTATTTTTAGTTTTCAAATAACAAACACATCCTTAGGCTTTTGGAATCATTAGGCAGGATAGAAAGAGAGCATTAAAAAGGGGAAGGGGCTCAACTTTGAAGGAAAGAAGCCAAATCCCATAAATACATAAAAGCCCAGCAGTGCATCAGACTTAGCCTTTTGCCATTTCTGAAGTAAATCCCACAGATTTAATATCTAATATTAGATATAATATTTAATAGATTCAAGAAACCAAGTTCTCATCTTCACATTACACTGGGCCAGTTCTTCACCACCACAACCACATAAATTTTTCTCCATATTTTCAAGATTCAATGCTGAGTTTTTTGTCACTAACAAATGCACAAGGACATTGGTTCAAACTGGATAAAATATGCTGTAGTTACTAACAAAAATAAATAGGAAATTTGGAAAAAATGAAAGCAGAGGGAAGCAAATGGAGACACTTGGATAATAATTCCACTGTGGCTTCTGCAGTGATATATTATCAAATTCTTTTTGTTCTTTGATTTACAAAGAAATTTTTTTGGGATCATGGGAAATGAAAATACTTCACTATCTTTATTTGGGTTGTTTCATTGCCCTAGGTCAGTGGTAGGCAAACTTGGCTCTTTCACACCCTGTGGACTTTAACTCCCAGAATTCCTAAGACAGCTTGGCTGTCTTAGGAATTCTGGGAGTTGAAGTCCACAGGATGTGAAAGAGCCAAGTTTGCCTACCACTGCCCTAGGTGAATACAAGATAAAATTAATATAGGAATCCTACATAGCTACTGCATTGCAATGTTGCAGAGAGAACAAATTCTCCCAAGCAGGTGATGGAATGGCTTTCTCTTTCTGTAGCAAGAACGATGTTGTTTCTGGTGCTCAAAAGCATCAGCTATAGAGAAAGGTAGGCCATTCAGAAGGAAAGCAAGGATCAGTCACCCAGAGGAGACATGGAGTAAGTTTGCTGTAATTGAAATATTAATTTAAGAAGAGCTAATTATAAACTGTATCTCAGAATACCCCGTCAGAATTAAATTGATGAAGATGCTCAATTTGAGATTAATTTTTTTTTTAAAAAAAAAAACAGAAGCTGCTATTGATTTACAATTCAGTGAAAAACTAGTGGGCATATATCTCCATGGAATTTAATTCAGCTTTCCTGCATCCTTTGCTCCTGAAAACTTCTTTTAACTAAAAGAATTAAAGTCCGAAACGGCTTGGGTTCAGAATATAGCCAGAGAGATAATGAGGTGTGTGTCTGTGTGTGTGTGTGTGTGTGAGAGAGAGAGAGAGAGAGAGAGAGAGAGACAGAGAGAGAGAGACAGAGAGAGACAGAGAGAGAGAGAGAGACAGAGAGAGACAGAGACAGAGAGATCTTCCTCTACCCACAGTTAGAAAGAAAAGCTGACTTCTGTATCCTATCCAAGATGGATATAGAACTGGGGTGAAATCTACTTACCTTCCCAACTGATTCGGAAGTGCACATACCATGCATGCACTTGGACCCTCTACGCATGCATAAACCCTTCTGCACATGCGCAGAGGGTAAAAAACAGGTTATTTCCTGATTAAAACCAGGAAGTACTGACGGTGGGCGGAGCCTTGCACCACCATCGCTACTGGTTCTCCGAACCACCGGCCGCCATCACTACCGGTTCGGCCGAACCAGTCTGAACCAGAAAAGCATGGCACCCCTGATATAGAAGTGATGGTAATGAGAGACCAGGCTTCCTTAATGTCTCTGTTGATACTGTGAAATACAGTGCTTACAAAAATACAAAATACATTGTACATTATAGTTGACCTTTTGCCATCTGACATTTAAAAAAAAAAAACAATTCAAACAGGCCTTTGTCTGTAATTATCTACTTAGGACATCACATTTTCTAAAGGCGATTATGGGAAAGATTAGCAAGCTAATCTTACAGATTGTACTTGAAGTTGCAGGTCATTTTTCTCTTGCAACAAAGACACCATTTTTTCTTCCAGCTCTTTCCTTTTTGCTTCTGATTTAGCAAGTTCTTCCTTAGTCCTCTGAAACTCTTCCTTCATGTTGGCCATTTCTTTCTCTGCCTCTGCACTCCTTAACAGTGGCTTAATCTTGAAGAACAACTTCATCCAAGGCCAATGTTTGACATTCATGAATGAGCGAATGTTGTACTGAATCATGAAAATTGCTTCCCTGTAATGAAACCATTCCAGAAAGTTACTTATTGTAGATTAATAAAAATAGGATTGACTAACTAAGACTGCGGAGTTATATTATTAGACCAACATCGATCTCCCAATCCCATAGTTTGAATCTTCTCCAAGTATATTGCTGAGCTTGGAAATTTAAATGCTGAAAACTGGCAGTTGAGGCAAGAAAGAGATGAAAATTTTTACATGAAGATCTTATCTGGGTTACAAAGGTAAAGAGATTTAGCCTGGCTGTTACTTGTTGGAAGAGTATCAGGAAAGCCAAAGATTGTAAACTGAATTGAGAAATAAAAAAGATGAAATTAAAAGAATGATAAAATCTGTGTCTTAGAAATATTCCGTGGGAAGAGGTATTTTCTTTAGCATTTTTTACATTTCTTCCTACAAGAAATGGTGTTAAAAGGCAACAAGATGGCTGCTGAAGCCAAGATGAAGCTACTATTACAGAACATTCCAGAAACCTATAGAATCCACAATACAAAATCAATATGTAATTCATTCATTCTGTGTTGAACTGCTGTCAAGTTTTAATCAAACTCCAAACATCTGATGAAGGGAGTAGCAGCTCAAACACTATGCCTTTTAATAAAATGTATTATTGAAAAAGGTGCTACTAGATTCCTTTTGATTTTTGGCACCATAGACTAACACGGCTCTCATCTACGGATTTATGACCGTTTTTCACAATTACAACCTTTGCATCCTTCCCATGATCATGCGATCAAAATTCAGATGCTTGGCAACTGGTTCATATTTATCACCTTTGCTGTGTCCCAAAGTCATGTGATCACTTTTTGTGACATTCTGACAAGCAAAGTCAATGGGGAAGCCAGATTCATTTAACAACTGGTTACTAACGTATTAACTGCAGTGATTCGCTTCACAAATGTGTCACTTAACAATAGAAATTTTGGGCTCAACTGTGATGGTAAATTGGGGATTACTTGTGTATCTCAACTGTTCCAAGACTGCAAGAAGTGGACGTTATATTATAAAATAGTTATTACTGGATAAAAATATAATAGTTTTGGAGTGATGGAAAGTAAATAAGCAAAAAAAAAAAAATCCTTTAAGTTGGAGGACCCCTTTCCATAAGGACATACCTTCTGGTGCCACACACTTGAAGGTTCCATATTCACTCCCTCAGATGTTTCTCTATGGTTTACTTGTTATGTAACCCTGACAAATCATGGCTTATATAGAGACCATAGTTAATTATGCTATAATGTAACATTTGAAGTCAACCATAGCCTACGAAAGTTTGAAAAGCTTCCTCGGCAGAAATATGGATGAGTATCTAATTACAGGTAGACCTCAACTTACGACCACAATTGAGTCCAAAATTTTGGTTGCTAAATGAGAAAGTTGTGAAGTGAGCTTTGCCCCATTTTACAACCACAGTTGTTAAGCAAATCCCTGCAGTTGTCAAGTTAGTAACATGGTTGTTAAATGAATCTGGCTTCCCCGTTGGCTTTGCTTGTCGGAAGGTCACAAAATGAGATCACCTGGACTCCGGGATACTGCAACCATCATAAATACGAGCCAGTTGCCAAGCATCAGAATTTTAATCAT